TTAATTTTATTGGCTCATTTTTGAAGGTCATGAAGCGACATATAATCATTTCACGACCTTAAAAAATAGCCAATGAGTGGGCGTTTCTAATACAAAAAATTCAACACTGGAATAAATTTATTTCTGTTTTAATTTCATTAATTTGCAAAATTTTACTTTTTTATGTAAAAACAAAAATTGAGAGAGAGGTGATTTAATCTCACTTTTATTTATTACTCAGTGCGAATACATGTTATAACAGACTGCACATAACTTGCCTACCTCGCAGTAGTTACAAATCTAATTTACTATAGCTAATTACAGTTTGAGTGAGAGAAGAGTGGAAACTTCGAAACAACGTACGTACTATTTATAACAGAGAGATAGAGAAAGTACGTACATACTTTGAAGTGTTGGCATAATTAAAATTAGCTAAATTTTACTTTGAAATTTTTTTTTTTAATAGCTAAAATTATTTTTGCTATTTAGTCACAATTTTCGAAAATATGTTTCCTTTTTATGAAAAATTATTACACAGTCTTTTCTTTTATAGAAATTAATTTTTTTTTAACTTTTTCGACTCTTCGAATTTCACAGAGTCGAAATAAATTAAATTTAACACGTAATCTCTCGTATTTTAAAAAGTTAATATATTTTTCTGAACTTCTCAAGTATATTATATTTATCTCATAAGAATCTTGAGATAAAAAAAAGGGGAAAAGTAATTATAGAAGTTTTCATATGGCTCCTCGCGGCAAAATTATCAGATATTAATAAATTTGCGTACAATATATAATTTTCCAAAACTTTTGCAACCTGAAAAAAAAAAATTAGTGAAAGAAAAAAAGAATTCAATCTCGTTAAATTAATTTCCACGTATTTTTCCAAGCTCAATATTGTCACTGGAGAAAAGTTTATTGCCGATAAAAAAAAGTAGATTCATTTTAAAGCCCAGGGTTCTCGCGCGACTAAATGTGATTTTTCCTCTCCCTTATTTTTTATTCCATCCTCGTCTCTCTCTCTCTCTCTCACTCTTTCTCATGGCGCTTTTAATACCAACATGGAAGTTACATAAAAAATAGAAAATTGTGAATAGCATTAAAAGTAATGGTAATAGAGGCCTTGGAGTTTCACGAATTCAAATAAGTTGAGTTAAACGAAGCTCTACTAATGAATGTTCGTACCTCAACGTCGCGCATTATATTTTGTCACCATTCATAAAATTCTTTTTTTCTTCTTCCTTTTTTTTTTTTTTGACCAAACTGTTGAAAATGTTTCCTTATGCGAATCACGAGATGATTTTTATATATTTTTTAAAAAAGTTGGTAGAATTATTAGTAAACCCTGGGAAGTTATTAAACGATATGAATGGCTTGTATTTTAAACGCATTGTTAACCAGACAACAAAAAGGTGTTAATCGATACCTTGGAAAATATAAAGCGTTATGCAAATCACTACTAAAGTACGATAAAATATCACTACGAGAACGATGGAGCTTTATTCCTCGAGAATAATGTTATTTTCAGTAATTAACTAATTTCAATTGATAAACAAAGTCGATTCGGGAAATTTAATTGGATTATTCATATTTAAAGTGGAAACAGGAATAATTATTATTAATTATAATATAATTTTGAAATCAATTCATCTTTCTAGCAGAGAAACTAATTTTAAATTCGCTTTGGGCGTACTTATTATCCCATGAAAATTATAATTTAGAATTTTTATTTGAATAAATTCTATTATATTAATTATTTTTTTAGACGAATTTTTATTTTTCAAATTATTGACAGAATTTTTTTTTTTTTTTTTTGACTTTATAGAATTTTTAGGTACCAAATTTTTCTTTTACAGAACTGTTTATTGAAAAAAAAATTCTAATTTAACCGAATTTTAATTTGGTAGAATTCTCATTTATTAGAATTTTTCTTCGAATTTTTAAATGCTTAATTTTCTAATTCACTGAATCTTAATTTGTCCAAATTTTTATTTGTACGAATTTTTAAAATGACGAAATTTCATTTATCCGAATTTGCAAATGGCCAAAGAAATAATCGCCAGAAAACTTCGGCGCTGTTTTTAAAATTTACCAATCACGATTATATGGATAATTTCTGATTGGTCAATTTTCAATCAATCTTTTTGTAGGTTATGTTTGTTCGGACATTTGCAATTTCGGTCAAATAAAAAATAGGCTTTTTAAGAATTATATAGAATTCGTACAAATAAAAATTCGAAGAAATAAAGATTCAGCGAATTAGAAATTTCGAAATTTAAAAAATTCGTATTACTAAAAATTCTGTTAAATGAGAATTATGTTAAATTAAAATTCGATTTAATATAGAATAATATATAAAATAAAAAGTTTAAAAAATAAAAAACTGTATATAAAGAAATTCTGTCCCAAACAAAAGTTTGGATTTTAAAATTTTTGGTAAATAAAAATTCTATTAACTAAAATTCGAAAAATTAAAATTCGTTTAAAAAATAATTATTTTTGTTTTTTAAATATTTTTTTTTTGTTGAAAATTTAATTCAAAACAATCTAGAATTATTTTTTTTCAATTTATTTGTTGAAAACTTTTTTTACAACCGCAAAAAATGGTTTTTTTTTTTTTTGTTTAACGTTCATTGGCAAAATTGATTATCGAAAATTGGAGGCTGCACATACTCTTTAATTAAAAAACAAATCTAAAAACTAGAAAAAAATAGAGGCCCCTGGAAAAAAACAATCGAATTCGCCAGGAAGCAAATACACTTTGCGCGCGTTTTTGCATGGTCGATACTAAATTAAACGTTGGAGGTCCAATAGCCCAGACGTATTAATTACACTTTAAAGCGGGTTAGCGTTAGCACGGATTTACCGACTCTAGATAAGAGCCAATAGAGTTGGCAATTGAGATTTACCGCTTTTACCTTGTATATATATATATATAGAGTCAATTGTTAAAATCTGCTTTAGAAATTTTTATATTAAATATAAATTTTGACAATTAGAAACAAAAGAAAAAAAAAATTTAGATTCAAGGTTTTTAGTTAATTGACGCAGTTTATAATAGTTTTGCAGAGAGAATATTAGAGGGTATTTTTTGTAACATTCTATTTCCGATATATATATAAAATTGATAGCGATCGGAAACTCCCTTCGATAAAATGTCCAACTATTGAAAATTATTGATGAAAAATAGAATCAGTTTTAAGTAAATATAAAGAAGCTTTTTCGTTTTCTTTTTATTTATTATTTATATTAGGTATTAATTTACATTATCCGAGAAATATTTTATTTGAACCAAATATAATATATTTGATTTGACTAAACGTACACTGAAAAAAAATTTATTTGATTCAAATACTCAATTACATGACTATTATCAAATAAATATTTATTTGAGTCAATTAAATGCGTACACTGAAAAAAAAATTTATTTGTTTCAAATACTTCAAATTATTTGAAAAATATTTAATTGGTTCAAATACTTTTTATTTGAATCAAAAAAGTATGTATTTGATTCAAATAACTTGAATTATTTGAATCGCATTTATTTAAACCAAATAAATCGTATTTGGTTCAATTAAATAATTAATTGAATTGAATAAATGAATTTATTTAATACAAATAATGAGTTACTTGAAACTATTTATTCATTTATTTAACTCAAATATTTCGTTTATTTGATACAAATAAAAAGTATTTGACACAATAAATTTATGTAATTGATTGAAATAAACTGAATTATTTAATACAAATAATTAATTATTTAATTATTTGTATTTGATTCAAATAACTATTTATTTGATACGATAAAATAAAATACTTATGTCTAGTAAATATTTATTTGAATGGAATAATTTTCATAATTGATTCAAATAATTATTTATTAGCTTTGAATATTCCATTTATTTGATTTAAATATTTTGTATTTGATTCAAATAACTATTTATTTGATACGATAAAATAAAATATACTTAGGTTTAGTAAATGTGTATTTGGTTCAAATACATATTTATTGGATAATAGACAAGTAAATGATGTATTTGGATCAAATACTTTTTATTTGATCCAAATAAATTTTTTTTTCAGTGTATTTATTTCAAATAAAAATTATTTGGTTCAAGTAAATATTTATTTTGCTCTAAGCCAAATATATCATGAGTGTATAATATAATTAATTATATAATTATATTAATTAAATAATTATAATTAATTACTCTCTAAATTTAAATCAGTAAAAAATAACTTATTAGTAAAATCTATTTTTAGTTTATGTAAAAATAACTGAGTAGTGAAAGTTCTAGTAATTAATTTAATTATTTTTTCACTTATTTTTTTACTATAATAATTAGTTGTTTTTTTTTACTAATAATTAGATATTTTTCACTAATTTCTGAAGCTAAAAGTGAGCCATAATTTTATTGATAATAAATTAGTTACTTTTAACTAATTCAAATTTAGACAATATGTGATATAATTCTATTATTGTATTAATTAATATTATTTTAAAAACGAAGACAATTTTCATTTGTCTTTTAATTAGAATTAGTTGAAATTTCGATAAAAGAAAGAAAAAAAAAGATCAATTTGCACTAATTTATTATTCTCGAAGCTATCTCCTATAATAAAATTCTTTTCGAGAATAATTGAAAATATAAATGAGATTATCCATTAAATATTGTATATATTGATATTAATTTAAATTTGTAATGAGTTTAGTTTTAATTATTTTCGACATTTATTATATTGTACATTTATAGTTGGTAATAGGATAATTGTATTTGATATGTGTATAAGTGAGAGAAACATCCTTATAATATCTATACAAATAAAGCGAATTACCGAATGGTCATAATTGGGTCAATAATTAAAATATATGTATAAATTAATAATTTAATGAGCCCAAAATAGCAATATCGGACAAAATGATTCATTTTTAAATAAAAAATTTTCAATATTTTTTATCTTAATTTTTTTTTTAATAAAATTTTTTAAAAATTTGTTTTAAATTTCTTTTCTTTTTCTCAGGTTCAATTCAAAATGGAGAATCGCAATTGTAACAGCTTGGTTGGTGGCCACGTGTGCTGGTAAGTATCTACAAATATACCTCTACCACACTATACTGCGAAACATTATCCTCCTTCATCTCCAGTATTCATTCTGTTCTATACGAGTTTCAAGCTAATTCAAATAGCTTAGTAACTTTACTATTTCTGTTAATAATATATACATATATATATATCACATGTATATAATATCACAATCTGCCATATTCACTCTATGTATATATACGTAGTTGGAAAATTTTCTCATTTATTCGAGACAAATGAATAAATATGTAGATAGAAATTTACGTTTTCGAAAATTATGAGATTTATGCGCGGTTGTAAGTTTTGTGGTGAATAATTTCTTACATATATACCTATACGGTGAAAAATTTAGAATTTTGTCTGACTAAAACTGATTTTTACTACTGAAATTCTATTTGACAGAATGTCTCGACTGATATTGACTCTCACTACTGAGAATGAAATTTGTCAATCTAAATGTGTCTGACTGTAGCTTGGGTTTTACTGTATAGGAAAATTGAATTTAAGTTTTGTCTGACTAAACACGGTTAGCACTACTGCCATAGTCAAATTGGAAAAAATTTAGAACTTACAGAAAGTACACTGGAAAAAAAAATTATTTGATTCAAATAATCGGATTATTATCAAGTAAATGTTTATTATTATTATTATTAAATAATTTGTTTCAATAACAGAAATTATTTGTTCAAATACAATTTATTTAATTCAATTAAAAAATTAAAAATTATTTGGATCAAATATAATTTATTTAATTTAAATAAAAATTATTCGGTTCAAGTAAATATTTATTTGTATTAAATAATTATTATTTAAGACAATTTAATGGTATTTGTTTCAAAAACAGAAAATATTTGGTTCAAATACAATTTAATTCAATAAAAAAAATTATTTGGTTCGACTACAATTTAAATCAAATAAAAATTATTTGGTTCAATTAAAATATATTTATTTGTATTAAATAATTATTATTTGAGTCAATTAAATGGTATTTGTTTCAAAAACAAAAATTATTTGATTCAAATACAATTTAATTCAATAAAAAAAATTATTTGGTTCAAGTAAATATTTATTTATATTAAATAATTATTATTTGAGTCAATCAACTAATATTTTAAATAAAATTTGTTGATTCAAATACAATTTATTTAATTAAAACAAAATTATTTAGTTCAAGTAAATATGTATTTACTTTTAATAATAATTAAAATTTGAATCAAATAAATTTTCTTCAGTGTAAATTTTTCCACACAAGTTTTAAATCGTTTTACGTATATTGAAATAGAAAAAATATTTCAAAGATCAATTTTAGAAATAGTAAAAAATATACGCGAATAAGAAAAAATCCAATGGCAAAAGAGTTTAAGAAATAAGGAAATATTTTTCCCTGAATGTATATTTTAATTTCCACAAATATCGCAAGCTTCTTGTTCAACATGATGTAACAGTTTATTTTTTCAAAAAAAAAAAAAAAAAAGCTAACTTCCCATTTCACGAATAGGGTTTATTTATTTTTTTTCTTTTTTCATCAGTTTCTTTTTCTCGCCATTCTCGATATTGAGACGAGAGGACTTCTTTTCTTAGTTTGCTTCTTTTATTTATTTTTATTTTTTTTCTCGTTTTTTCCCCCCTTTCTTTTTTTTTTTTGTCTCCTCTCTGTATCCGAAGTCGGAGATTTAAACCGTGAATCGCCAAAACGAGCTCTTAAACATCTACTGAATACGAGCAGAGTAGATGGATGTAAGAGGGAAAAGGGTGGTTTCCTGTTCCTAGAAAAGAAATCCGGAAGGTTCGTTTCTAGAGCTTGCCGTATCTTTCTCGAATAAGTAACTGAAAAAGCAAAAAAAAAAAAGAAAAAAGATGAATAAAAAATGACTTTGAGCTCGTCTTTTTTTTTTGCTTTTGCTCATTTATGAAAACGCTAAACTTAAAACGAAGATAATTCACCTTTTTTTCTTGTGTAAGAAAATTTAAAATAGATCTTTCTTGAATAAATTATAGTTTTTCTTATTTCAGAAGAGAGAATTGTTTAATCGAATTGCGGTCGCTGTTTTTATAGAAAAATCTTATTAATCATTTTACTCTCAATGAATTTTTAATTACATATCACTGACATTTTTATATGAATATTTTTTTTTATTATTTACATATATATATATATATACTTACAAAAAGAAAGAAATTAGCCTTTTCGTATCAATGTACTAAAAAAAACAATAAGTATAAGTACACGGAGAAAAAAAGTTAGCCATATTAGCTAAAATTTAGCTATTTTAGCTAACCCTATTTGCTATTATATGGACAGCAATTTTCGTTAGCTAATACAGCTAAAAATTAGCTACTATAGCTAAAATATTTTGCTGTAACAGCTAAATATTAGCTACTGTAGCTAAAAATTAGCTATCCATATAATAGCAAACTCATTTTTCTCCGTGTAGTATTCAAAAAATCAGTAAGAGATGCAGGTACAAAGCGCATCTAAGATTTCGTGTCTCTTAAAATTCTGGTCTTTCTTTTGTTTTAAAATTCAGGTCAAAAATTAGTTTGTATATAATAAAAAATATTTTGCTGTAGTCACGGTTGCTATGGTAAAAGTTGTCATGAAATGTGTTGCTATGAACCTATGGAAACGGTTGCTATGGTAACTGTTCTCATGGATCGGTTGCTATGGCAACGATTGTTATAGAAACTGTTACTGCGGTAACGGTTACTATGGTAACCGTACGAATGTACGACGGACAGACGGGACGCCAAAAAGCAAAACTATAAAGCTCCGAGTCACGAAATCCTAAAAATAAACAAAAAATAATAAATATTGACTAGGTACACGCATAGAAAAAGTTTGCTATGGCAGCGAACTATTTGCTGTCACATCAAATTACGTTAGCTAATATAGGGACAGCGAACAAATTTGTTGTAGGGTCAAAAAAGTATTCTGTGACATTAAATTTTTAAAAACTAACACTCATATTGTTTATCACAGCAAACTTTTTTGTTGTCATAGCAAAAAATTTATCTGTGGTTACTAATTTTGATAGATTCGACAGCTAACATCAGTTAGCACACACGAAAAAAAAAGTAGAATTTTTACCCCAAAATCGGTATAAAAATTACCTGCAACAAATTTTATCCTAATTGAGGGCGCCACCGTCTATGTGAATTAGCATTGGTTAAAATTACCCGCAACAAAATTTACCCAGCGTTTTTTCTGTGGGCCTACGTAAATTCCTTTTTTTCATGTAGCGTTGTTATTAAAAGTAAAGAATTTTTTACTGAACGACGTACACTGAAAAAAAAATTTATTTGATTCAAATACCGGTATATTTGGTTACTATCAAATAAATATTTACTTGAATCAAATATTTCTTATTTGAATCAAATATATAATATTTGTATCAAATAGTTCAGTATTTGAAGCAAATACCATTTATTTGATTCAAGTAAATATTTATTTGATAATAACCAAATACACCGGTATTTGAATCAAATAAATTTTTTTTTCAGTGTAAAATTGATGAATTATGAGATGAAGGTGGAAAATGTTTAATTATCATATTATTATTATTATTATTATTATTAAAATATAAATCGACTATTTGTTTATTATAAAAATAGTAAAAAATATTCGAATGAGAACAATTTGAATACTCTCTGGAAAGATATGCTTTAAAGTTTTGATGACACTCATCTCGTTGAATATGTAAGAAGCATGTATAGAAGAGGAAAATGCAACCGGGGGGAAATCTTATATAAATGAAATGATATTAGTATAAAAGTTTCTTTGGCCTGATGGCTCAACACTTGAGTTTAAAAAAAAAAACAGAAAGTAAGAGAGCAACTTGCAAATAAGGTCTTTAGAACGCTAACGCTATATAAGCATTCTCTAAAGATAAAATCCGATATAAAACGGCTTCGGGTTCTTCGTCACTTTCGCGGTTATTACTTCGTAAGCTTCGATAAGCTTCGTGATCGATAGAGGGGACCTTTTTTTTCTACTGGACGTGGAATTGAAGTCTTAGATATGCTTCAATTCTTTTTCTCATCGATATATATATATATAGAAGGTAAAAAGAATGCTCCTTTTCGAAAAAATCAACGCGATATATTATATGGCCCCTGATGTTGGAAGATATTTTTCACTAGCAAAGGCGAAATCGACTCGCTTCACGGAATATGCATTCCCGGATGTGTGTATATGCCCCTACCCCCCGCGTGTGCACCATATGAGAAAAGAAGTTCTTCTGTGTGCGAAAAAAGAAAAGGCAAAAGAATGTATGTGTGCAGGAGAAACGAGTTTAAATTGCCGGAGATTTTTCTTTTCAAATATAATCCCAGAATTGTTACCGACGAAATTTTGCCCAAGGAATTTTCCCCAATTCTAAAAGTCACTTATTTGAATCCATTTTGAAAGTGCAGATCCTTTCTTTTTTTAGAAACAAAAAAAAAAATTGCTTTTCTACTCTTTTTCCGAAACTTTCCACTGAAATTCATTTCAAAGAATTTTAAATAAATCGTAGTTATTTTTTTTATCTCTAAAAAAAGGGTTTGGTAAAAATGTCAAATTTCTCGAAAAGTAGAAATGATATGTTTTAGATTTTTGTAATACTGGGTTATTTTAGGTGTAAAGTAAGTGCCACTATTATCTTTTTTTTTCAAAAACCAAAAATTTTTAACATAGATTTCTGCATTATCGACATTTTTATTTTTGTTTCTTTTATTCAGCCGTTTTCACTCATAAGTATTTCATGTTGTTAAAAATATTTATATTTTTCACGAGACTGTCTCGAATGTACCATAATGTAATTTCCAATAATTTATAATTTTAATTGAAAATTTAATTTTGCTTATTAAATGCAATATTGGAAATAATATTAATTACCTACCATTTTTTTATAAATGCAAAATATTATTACCAATTTTGTATTTAAAATGTTAGATTTACAAATTAAATTTTCAATGAAAATTGTAAATAATTGAAATTTGTTGCAAATAATTATTTT